GGGGCACCCCCGCGGTGGGGGTCCGGGGGTCAAACCCCTACCCCGGCTTTGCCCCCGGGGGCCCCCGCGTGACAACCCTGGGTCCAGGCCCCTGGGCTGTCGCTCCGGAATGGAATTGCAGAATTTTTTTCTTCTGAAATTCTGAATTACCTTGAACCGGTCAGTTCAAAAATGCTATCCCAAATGCGGATGATGACAGCGTAATTCAGGACAGGAAAAGAGAGCAATGCATAAATGCCAATGGATATCTCAAGGGGGTCACCCTTTTGGGGGGGGAATAACACAAATGGATAACATAGTGCAGAGTCAGCGCAGAGTGAGCATGTGGCAAATACAATAATGCAAATGTGAAATATGATGGTGAGGAGCATCGCATACAGAGAAGATTAGCATGGCCCCTGCGCAARGATGACACACATAAATCGAGAAATGGTCCAAAAAAAAATAAAAAATAAAAATAAATAAATGGTGAGGAGCATTGCAAGAACAGTAATGGTGATGACAGGGTCCCATGTGTTAATCGGAATGATAATCACCATTGCCATGACAGTCGCGTAGCGACTGAAGAGGCGGGGGCTACCCAACATGAAAATGAAATGAAAAAAGCCCCAAGATGAGCACTTCACCCCACCCCAGCACAGGTACTCGTTTTTCCCGCGGACCCGGTGTGGGTCCCAGTCATACACACGCCCAACACAGGCGTGTCGGGCGTCGACGCAGCCACCTAACCAGTGTGCACCGGACTGCTAGTTCCTACGCCAGTCTACATGAAATAGACTTTCACGAGCCGACCACAAAGATCGAACACTCAACCTCCAGATCAGGAGGTAGACACTCGACCAAACGGCTAAGTGGACTGGGGTGGGGTGAAAGTCAAGCCCCAAGATGAGCACTTAACCCACCCCAGCACGGGTACTCGTTTTTCCACGCGACCCGGTGTGCCCAGACACGCGCACACCCAAAACAGGCGGCGATGCAGCCACCTAACCAGTGGGACAGCAGCCACCAACCCAACGGTTATCATGAATGTTCATTATCTTGTATATATGGGACGCTGGGCCCGGTGCGGCTCCCCACCAGTAGATGCGAGCCATCGCCAGGGCTACTAGTGATGGGTGCCCATTTCACCATGACTAGTAGGCCCCGGGTAGAGGTTAAAAAAAAAAAAAAAAGACACAGAAGCAGTGCTGGGCCGGCAACTGTCCGGTTGAGCTACCCCGGTCCAACCGGAGCCGGACCAGACCAAGGGGGGTGAACCGGGAAACCAGTTTTGAAAAAACAGTGCCCAAATAAGCAAGTTCACTTATCCGACCCCCCCGTCGCTGGAGCACTTCGTGGAGTATGTCATTTGATATTGATACCCCACGAGCTGAACCAGATACGATGAGAGGAGGTCCTTGCCCGAAATTATAGCTCTTCCAGAGTATATTTCGACAGCAGAAAAGTTATGGTTCCAGCTTTCTGCTCGTGGAGGCAGAGCGTTTTCTGTTTGTTGGTTCCTACATAAGGTGAGTTGTCAGTCCGGAAGTATCTTGTCTGGCAGTCTGTCCAGATACATGTAGTGGAGCAAGGTCCATTCGAGATAGATAGATAG